CCCCCTTACCGATGTTAAAATCCAGTCACCCTACTCTAGCTGCTTCTCTCAACACCTAAAGTCACAGGGCACAGCACTGCTTGGTGCTGGCTACAGATTTGGTAAATTAATAAAGGCTTTAGGCCAGAAGTATCCAGTTTTTTCAGATACATGTATGAAGATCCCCATTTGTCTGTATGCATTTGTTTAAAGTTTTAAAAAGTTTTTAAATTTTTTTACTGTGACAAAATATATATAAGCATACAATCTAGCAGCATTAAGCACATTCACAGTGTTATTCAACCATTGTTATTTATGTTATGTTATGTTATGTTATGTTAGTTTTTGAGACCAAGTTTCATTCTGTTGCCCTGCGTGCCCTGGCATCCTAGCTCACAGCAACCTCAAACTCCTGGGCTCAAGAGATCCTCTTGCCTCAGCCTCCTCAGTAGCTGGGACTACAAGCATGGCCCTAATGTCTGGCTAGTTTTCTTTCTCTTTTTTAGTAGAAATGGCATCTTATTCCTGCTCAGGCTAGTCTTAAACTCCTGAACTCAAGGGATCCACTTGCCCTGGCCTCCCAGAATGCTTGGATTACAGGTATGAGCCACACCCAGTCTGCTATCTATTTTGTTAAGAGCCTCTCTGTGTCTTCACAATGCCATGAATTTTCAAAGAGTTCTTGACCGCAAAACACACTCAGACCTCCAACATATAAGATAGTAATTTCATTTTAGTATCTATTGTTTAAAACCATAATGACAAAGAGCCAATACTATGGCTTCAGTGACGCTTATAATGGCTCTGTACCAGAGAAGCAGCAATATATATTAGGAAAATGAGAATCTATGAGAATACATATATACAGGAGATCATAAAACTCAGCCAAAAGATACTGCTCAGTACACCTGTGGAGCTCTAGATGCTTGCAATAACTCAGAAGTCCACACCATGGGAGCCCGCATGCAATCCCCTCTTACCATCACCTGAAAGAGGATCCTGCCACAGCAGGGGAAGGAGGGTGACCACATCTACCTTCATTCCAAAGTTCCCATACCTAAAAGTGATTTTTTTCCCACTACAAATTGGGTGAGATGATAAACACAACAATTTATGCTTGGCATTAAACTTGGCATTTTCACATACACACAAAGGTAATAACGTTATCGCAAG